AAGGAGAGAAATAGGGGTGAGGGGAAATAAATTATGAAGGAACTTGAATGCCAACAAGGAGTTTATAGGTCACCACATTTTATTTACTAATTCATTCATTCAGACATTCTTTGGCGGTAAGGATACCAGATAGAAGGCTAGATAAATAATGTGATCAAGAATAATTAATTACTTGAGCTAAGGCAGTATTCATTGAAAGGGAAAGGAGAGCCCAGATACAAAAGATGCTTTTAAGACATCAGTGTTCTGGCTTTGATGACTATCTTTGAGAAATGTGAGAAGTAAAGAATTAAAAAATTTCATCATGGGTAACAGAGTATCTGGTATGTACACAATTAAGAGTTTGTTGAATTGAGTAGAATGTTAAGAGTGATTTTTATAGCGCTTTTCTCCAAAAGATGAAATTATGGCAGAATATTAGACTTTGAGGCATAAGATAGACACTGTAGGTCTGATGAACCTCCTCATGAACTCACTGCACCACACGGTGGGTGCTATGGATTGAGTCAGCCATGAAGCTGAGGACTTGGGGATAATGGCTCCATCACAGAAGAGGACTTCCAAATAACTGTGAATGGTTTTGTAGACTGAACTGTGCACTACATCTTGCCCTAAGTCTGAGAAAAATATTTTAGAGGCACAGTTCTTGTTAGTTACATAGACTACAAAATCATTCCACTTTCTCCTAATACCAATTGCCCAAAGCGGGGGGGACTATAATAAGAAGCTTAGTTTATAGTTTTAAAAATCAAAATAAAGATTGTGGTAGGAAAATGAAGTCTTAGTCAAATTTGAAAGCTTATATTGTGAGAATTCCTGTAGCTATTTATTGTAATTATTTACTTTATCATCACTGGTTTTTGAGTTCAGCCTGTTCAATGACTAGGTAAATTCTTTAGTAAAGATCTGTAACTTAGTGAGTCAGTACTGAAATTGTGATGACTAGGTAGATAAGAGTCTTGATATTCAAGCATCTTTGCTAGAACAGCCTGAAATTCCCTGTGATGCAATGAAGAGAGGAGTGGGCTAAAAGGCAGAAGGCCAGCCCTCCCATTTGTCATCTGCTTGTCTGTGAACAAATTCTCAAAACTTCTCTAAGGCTCAAATTCTTCATCTATAAAATGGGCATAAAAATGGCTTAGTATACTCCAGGGCTGTTGTGAGGATCAGAAGAAATAATCCTTGTGCAAATTCTCTGTGATCTGTAAAGCTCTGCTATCTTGCCCATTATAGAACATTATGGAAAGCAGGTGGAATAGTTCAAGGATCTGTGGAACCACCTCCACAATAATGTTAATGATAAGCACAGTGTGGGCTGGGTCAGTGTAATGTGTTCATGCCCTCTTTCCCTGTCTGCACAGGCAGGCTAAAGCATTGCAAGATGTCATCCTCTTGGGCTTTTGCCCTGTGCTCTATCCCAGGACAATAGCACTGCTTTACTTGCAGGCAGCTGACCAACTTGTAGTCAGAGATGACTTCTTTGAAGCAGACTCCTAACTCCTGATTGTGGATCCAGGTCCCTCAAGGAATATGGTGGTGGTGGTTTAGCCGCTACGTTGTGTCTGACTCTTTGCGACCCCATTGACTGTAGCCGGCCAGGTCCTCTGTCCATAGGATCCTCCAGGCAAGAATACTGGAGTGGGTTGCCATTTCCTTCTCCAGAGAATCTTCCCAACCCAGGAATTGAAACCGGGTCTCCTGCCTTGCAGGCAGGTTCTTTACCAACTGAGCTACCAGGGAAGCCTTCAAGGAGTACAGTTGACCCAAAACAACCTTTCTTGGCTCTCAATAGGGAAGAGGTTTATACAGCAGTTTTGCCCTTCCTGTGCTTATATTATCTCCTGAAGTGTGCATATACATGTGTGTATACAGTCTTTATAGCATGGACAGATCAAGGTGCTAGTTAATTGAAAATGTTATTTGAAGGCAGATATAGTTCTGTATCTGCTTTAATAATCTGTATTCACAAATAATCAGCATAACTTTACTATTTTTTTTTTCACTTATCTACCCACATGAAGGTCAGTTTCCTATTATTTGTAGTTCAGACTTATTGTAAGAATGACTAATATTGTAGGGGAAAACCTCCCTATTCTAAGAAAATAGTCTGTTTTTCTGCAGTCCATTTAGATAAAGAGCCTTGGGGAGATTTAAGAATAAATTGTCCTTTTTCATTGACAGATATTCCCCCACTGGCCTCTCTTTCTTTTCCAGGCAACTAAAAATAGTCTTAATTTGTGCCAAATTCTGAATCAGTTTTGTCCCTAAAAGGTGTGAATAGAACTACTTATCCACTGATCTTGTCCATGAGTAGAGGGAAGTGTATGGAGGCTCTGATGCATGCTCATAGACACACACACCCCATATGCATATACATGTAGAGGGCCCATATCCCTGAAACATTTTAGGAGGACTCTTTAAATGGCCATATTTCAGTTATGCAGCTGTAGTTACTGTGGTAACTTTGGTTTAATGTGGCTTGTCGGAAATGCAGATATTATAAGTGGAAACTAGTATGTGTCAACATAGAAATGCATGTTAATTTTCTTTATAACAGTGTTCAGATAACCAAGCTTTCATAATGTTAGAAGAATATATAATGATTAGGCAGTTATTAAAAAGGTTGAATGGCACAGAGAGTAGCTTACATTTTTGAAAGGTATTTAATGATGGTATTTTGGAAACCAAATTCTTATTTTCACTTGAGATTGACTTTGCATCTCAAGTCCAGAGCTTTGAAGATAAAACTATACAGTTGTGTAGCGATACAATTATGTATCGATAAATGGCCATAGACAGTTGTCATGCATGTTTGTGGAAATAAATGGCAGAAGTGTGTAGAAATAGAAACATCTTTTTAATCTTAGATTTTGGGACAAGTAGCAAAAGTTTGGCTTTGTATGTATGTCTAATTTTGGAAATTATTGGTTAAGTTGAGTTTTATTTGAAGTATACTAGTGTCAATTTTACAAAGTGGCATTATAGATTAAAAATAACTTTTTTTTAAAACACAGAGTAACTATGCCTTTGAAGGAAAGTACCTTCCAATGCTGCTTCACTTACATTCTCTTAAAGTTTCCTGTCCCTCGCTTTTTGTTATTTTTGATTTGAAATCAGACTGTTCTATTGAGAATCAAGAATGTATCTAGAGCATTTCAAAATATTTTAGGTTGCAGTGTAAAAAAACTAAAATGTTAAAAATCTCAAAGTCCACAGTCATCAATTTTAGGTAGTCTATAAATTCAAATTTCACTCAATTTTAGCATTCACTTTGTTTCTTTAACCTTTTAATTATGAATCATATGACATCTCAATTTTCTCACCTATAAGGATAGAGAAGGGAGTTACAAGTATCTATTAGCATGGTTGATGTGAAAATAATGTAAAATATGGTAATATATCTAAAAGTACTTTGTAATTCAAGAACTATGCAAATGATGTTATTACATTAAAAATATAATACTGACATCTTTTTATTTGGAAGCCACTGTCAGAATGTCTATTTGCTGATATAGAAATCAAAGGAATTTTTTGCTGTTCATTTTTCATCTTTTTTTTTGTATAAATACTGCTTTCTCATCAACCTGGAAATTAAGATTCTTTAAATAATGCTGATAAAGTAACACATCGGTATAAATTTTTGAAGCAGATTTATGAAAATATGCATTTTATTGTTTCTAAATCATAATGTATATCCAGCATGAATGATGTGGTAAGAATTAGCCTGTTAGAATTGATTACCTATTTTTAATAACTAGCATACTTCTATTTTGAGACCATTTGAAGTGTTATAGGTATTCTTAGTGATGTTATATGGTTCTTCAAGGGAAATATGTATTTATATCTGTGTTATACATTTGGACAAAAATAGTAATAACACTTTCACAATACTGATTGGAAAACGAGTCACAATAAATATGTTGGATTTTCAAGATAAAAAGATGTACGGTTCTCAGATTTACAGCATACTGTCTATAAAAATAGTGCAATTGGGATATACTATTTTAGTAAGAAACTCATTAAGTACAACTTTTAAGAGCTTCTTTTTCCTCTTGATTTTCTAAACTTTGAAATTCCAGTAAGCTGTTGGGAAAATGTCCTTCCTATTGCTCTTTGCTGCCATGTCTAGAAGTGAGAGTACATTCAAATTAAAAACAGAAAGTCCCTTAAATTCCTTTCAAGAAGTCCATCCTGTAAGTGCCACTCCTGGAAAGACTATGGTTGTTATTACTTTTGACTGGAGCAAGATTGCAAAAGACTTGAAGAAGAAATGGAAATAGTAATGACAATTTTCTGTCACCCTTGTAGTTTACGGTGTATTTGTTACACTTCTTTTTAGTCTATTACAGTGTTTTTGGCAAGAAGTCCTTACCTTTAGAAGGAAATCTGTAACAGTAATAGTTAAGAATACTGTATAATGAGATACTTATTATAATTAAAATTTAATTAAAATTTAAAATGTCTGTAATAATGATAACACCAAATTAGTTATAATTGTAAATAGGAAACTAATTATAATTATGTGGAGTGCTTTTCAGGCTTCCCAGGTGACTCAGTGGTAAATAATCCACCTGCCCACGCAGGAGACTCAGGTTCAATCCCTGGGTCGGGAAGATTCCTTGGAGAAAGGAGTGACAATCCACTCTAGTATTCTTACTAGAAATCCCGTGGACAGAGAAGCCTGGTGGACTATATATAGTTCATGGGGTTGCAAAGGAGTCGAACATGACTTAATGACTAAACAACAATAACACGAAGTGTTTTTCGCGTATTCTTTCCACATCTATTATTTTATTTTAGTGTTTGAATATTTTTGTGCTTTGGTAAATTTGCTCTTCTATAAATGAAGACAAGAAACCTGGGAGGTTGATGTGACTACCTCAGAGACTCTCCATGGAGCTGTGGCTGAACTGAAACTCAAGGCTGGTCCTCTTATATTTCTTTTCCTGTGTGGCTTGACGTAACGTATATAATACACAGGCATTTTTCTTTCATTCTAGGTTCCGCCTAGACCAGCTTCTCGTGGACCAGCATTGCCAGCTAACAGAAGGCTGTGAGTCTGCATCTCGGCCCATCCATCCTTCTCCTTATTCCCATGATGAGTTCACCAGTGCGGTCCGGTCAGTCTGGTTGCTTTTTAAACTTTAAACAAATTTAGTATGAAAGGTGTTGTTTTGTATTGCTTCAAGTTAAGCAATTTAAATTGTGAAATGACTTTTTTCTCCTGATAAAGTTTGTTCGATATAATGAATTTTGAACTGTGTTCTATAGCCAATCCTCTATTGCATAACCAACTTGCATTCCAGGCAATTAATTTCATTTGCTTTGTTATCTGAGCAGTAGACTTTAATTCTTCTGCTGCAAATGTAACATTTGGGGTAAATTTTATGAAGTTATAAATATTTATTAAATATAACGTAGGCATCTAATTTACATCCATAGTCTTTCTGACCAAATACCTGTCTGTATGCTTTTTAAATGGTGTCGCGGTCTTTGCAAGTCAGCTTTGTGGATTTACTCCTCTTCCATCTCTGTGACACACAGGAAGGATATTTTTCTTCCCCACCCTTCTTTGCTGCCACTCCTGTTTCCTATATACATATTTAATTATAATCTCAACACCTGCTTCCTCTGAGTCCAGTTAATGTGTGGCTCATGTAGTGTTGTGATCAGCACAGCCAACACCCGTTTCTCCAGGAATAGGGTGTCACTTTTGGAACAAACATGATCCAAATCTTCAGAATGATGGAATAGCTTCAGATATCACATGTGAAACATAGACAAATTTAAAAAGAAATTTCTGTTTGGATCATTATGGGAGTATTTATTTCTGTGTATTCTTTAAAAATATTTCAGCATATTGATATCCTTGAGTTATCCAACTCCTGAGGTTGAAGCTAGTATAATATTTTACTCAGTTTATAAAGGGAAATCTTTTGCCAAGATTTTCACTCTGTGGAAGGCTGGTCACACCCAGATCAGCTGCTCTGGAATTTCAGTGTCTCATCAGCCTTCCCCACATCCCCAGCAAGTTGCCAGTTTCTATGTTGAATTTGGAACTAGAAATTATTGGAGAGTGTAACAGTATTTGTTTGTTCTAAATGATGTAGTAAAGATATTCAAGAATCTTTAGTCACAGTCATGATTTATAATTGGCATTATTATCTGAATAAGAGATGAAGTTACCTAGGCTTCTTATATCTGAGTCCATGTAGCTCAGGGGTTCTCAACTTTAGCATCAGTGGGAGGGCTTGTTAAAATGAAGCCACTTCCCCATTTTTTTGTTTTTTTGATTCAGGTCTTAGGTGTGTCCCAGGAATTGCGGTATTTACAGGTTTCTCTAGGTGATGCTGCTGCTGCCTGGGGACTACACTTTGGGAAGCATGGGTCTAGCCTACTAAGCCTGTTCCTTCCTCCGCCTCTGCCTGCTCCCCACCCGTTCTTGGCCCCACACCCCTACCCTCACAGGCAGCCCTCTGTGTGACCTGCACTACTTATCACAATTAAGTATAGAATTACAGTCCTTTCTATTGAGTTGAACCTAAGAGGATATTTGCATCTTATATATGTGTATATTACCTTTAAAATATGTATTACAGTAAGTCCCCTACATATGAACGAGTTCCATTCCAAGAGTGCGTTTGTAAGTTCAATTTGTTAGTAAGTCCAACAAAGTTAGCCTAGGTCCCCACTAACACAATCCGTTGTATGGTACTGTACTGTAATAAGTTTATAATACTTTTCACACAAATAACACATGCATGAAAAATAAGCAGAAAAGTGAAGCGTTTTTAGTCTTGTAGTACAGAACCTTAGAAAGCAGAGTAGTACAACCGCTGGCGTGCAGGGGCCGGCACGCATGTCCGCGTCTTTGAAAGCTCCCGTCTTTAAGGTTCGCATGTAGGGGACTTACTGTGTGTATATTTTCTCTGTCAATGGGAGTATATGTATTTATTTATATATACATTTAATGTTTCAAAATTACATAATTTAAAAGAAACATGTAATTTAGAAATACCATAGTCAAACTTTTTTTTCTTGTGGTGGAATATGTTGGAATCACTAAAAAACATACTGAAAGAAGTTGGAACAAATTGGCTAAGTACAGATGTGACTTACAGATGTGGAACAGGTATAGCAGGCTAGACCGGTGCTTCCCAAACCTACTCCATTTCTACAAGTTACTGTCTAGAATTTATACAGGGAGTGCTCTTAATTTTCAAGACCAGAAGCTATACTTTTTATATATTTTTATAAAATTGTCTATGTCTCTTTATTCTCTACTCATATTCCCCATATCTTCTCCACATTGTTTGTTTACCTCCCACTTTTACTTCACAGAGAATGACAGGCCAGATAGAACCATGGGAAAATAGATTTTTTGTTATTTCTACCTGAATTTGTAATCTTGAAATGGACACAAAATGCAGATCTCATTAAGGCTAATGAAGGATGAAACTGTATGGGAAATTTTTGGATCCAAATTATAATTAAACTCAACTTATAAAATTTAACTTTTAAATAGTTATTGGATTCACTTATTTTCTTCTTTTTTTATTGAAGTATAGTTGATGTGCAATATTATGTTAGCTACAGGTGTACAATATAATGGTTCACAATTTTTAAAGATTACTTTCCATTTATAGTTGTAAAATATTGGCTACACTCCCCGTGTTGTTTAATATATCCTTTCAGCTTATTTTATATGTGACAAGTTGTATCTGTATATTGCCCCTCTCCCCTTCCCTCTCCCTCATGGTAATCACTAGTTTTTCCTCTGTATCTGTAAATCTGTTTCTTTTTGGTTACATTCACTAGTTTGTTGTACTTTTTAGATTCCACATGTAAGTGTTATCATACAGTATTTGTTTCTCTAACTTATTTCACTCAGGGCAATTCTCTTCATGTCCATTCATCTTTTGCACATGGCAGAATTTCAAAATGGACCCTTTTATTTTTAAGGTGAAACGCACAATCCTGTCAGAACACTGTTGTAAGCCGTTAGATTCCCAGTTTAGCCGGTCAAGGCCTGTTTAAAGGTATATACTTGGCAATGAATGAATACAGAAATATTTTGATCACCTTATTTGAAAAGGAGAATCGATAAAATGTAATAAGAAATATTTAAAAATTTCACCTGGTTAAAAAAAAGTGGGCCAAATGACAGGAAGACAAACAGGTGAGAAATTCTATGGTTGATGCTTAATGTCATCTATGGACATCTTAGGTCGTTTCTCAGGTATGTCTGTATTACATCTAATTTCATTCTAAAAGTAATGAGTTTTTATTGAGAGATCAGTGTAAGGGTTATTCCAGTCTTAATTTTCTCATCTGATGTGTGGAACAGAATGTGGGAGTGACATTTTTGTTGTTGAGGTAACTGCTTAAGAGGTAAAGTATATTGGGCAAAAAAGCTATAGAAACGAAGTGTACATGTAAGGAACAGATGGTCAGAAGTAACATTTACTGAACTTTGTGAGGTAAAAGAGAAAAGGAAGACAGATGAATGCATGCACCTAACTTTTGAGAGAGAAAAAATATATATGATTAAAGGAGTTTCAGGTTAAATAGAAATCTTATTGTCTGTGCAGCGTAGACTGTTGTTTGTGTAAGAAGGGGATGTGAATCCATGTTTTAAGGTGTGTATAGAGAAGGAGTGAGTAGCACATAAATTCAGCTTCTTATGCTCAATTTGTAGCATTATGTAAAGACTCAGAGTTCCTATATGTAAATGTAATACATAATAAGATGATCAAATATACTGGACTCCTTTTCAAAAAGACAAAGTAAAATAATACCAAATACTTGGATTAATCCCACAGATACCTAGCATAGCTCATTATTGGTAATATTTGACAACTGAAATCAGCATACTCTGCCAAGAGTATGATTTTTGTAATATGAAAATGTCCTTTGAGGCTCCTGTTTTGCTGAGGAGGTTATTGCCAGTCATGATAATCACTTAGTTAGAAGGAGAGTGGATGATAAATGAGACAGTCACCAAGTGAAGCTCATTTGACTTTGGACTCATTAAAATTTTTCTTATGGACTTTCTTTCTTTTAAATGCTCTGGTCTGCTGAGAGCAGCATCCTACAGAGGTCTTAGTCAGTTATGTTTGGAGAGTTCTTATGAATGAACTCTAAACTGAAGAGAGTCATAGCAAATGGATCAGGTGGTGGGACTCTTCTGTTTATTCCAAATACAAACTATGATCAGAGAGACCTGAAATGCACTTTGCATTTATATAAAGGAAAATGTTCTAGCCACAAACATTAAAACATTCTTCAGCTACTGTTAGCCTGTATCTCACAGTGCCATATATATTCTGCTGGTGAGAAGTAACCTAATTGTTTGACTTAGAGAAACTGTTTTTCTCACATCTCCTTAAAAAAAAAAAAAACCTGTCTAAAAAGAATTAAATTGGCCTTATGCAATCACCATCTATTTATTTTGCCTTTGTTCTGCAAAGGGCTCTAAGGAGTTATTGTACACCAGAAAAATAGTCTCACTCCAGTTGTTCCAGAAATTCTTTATAGTAAGTATTTCAGATAGAGTATTTCTGTTTGTCTTGAGAATTGGTTCTGGGATGGTATAAATCTTATTTTCCTCAGGCATTGACAAAATTCTCATAGAAGTTCTCTAGCCATATTCAAATACAGTCAGTATCAAGGACTAAATATTACTGTCTCAATCATATATTCAGTCACACAATAAATACTGATTTCTGAATATGGAATACACTGATTTTTATTTTAATCTTGCTTCCCCGATAATGTTCTGCGTTAGAGCACTGGGCATTGCTTTTGGGCTCTGAGGGGTCTGAATGGAGAAAAGACTACATGCATGAGACTGGCAGCTAGCTGCTGCAGTTAAGATAGTCATTCATTCAAAATTTACTATGCAAGTATTTGGGCTTCCCTGATAGCTCAGTTGGTAAAGAATCGCCTGCAATGAAGGAGACCCTGGTTTGATTTCTGGGTTGGGAAGATCCACTGGAGAAGGGATAGGCTACCCACTCCGGTATTCTTGGGCTTCCGTTGTGGCTCAGCTGATAAAGAATCCACCTGCAACGCAGGAGACCTGGGTTCGATTCCTGGGTTGGCATGATCCCCTGGAGAA